AATGGCTATCATCAACAAATCAACGAATGACAAGTGTTGGCAGGGATCTGGAAAAAAGGGAACCTTAGTACATTGCTGGAGGGAATGCAAACTAATGCAGCCTCTGTGCAAAACAGTTTTGAATTTCCTCAAAAAATAAAAAATGGAACTATCATTTGACCCAGTGATTCCACTTCTAGGAACATATCCCAAGTATTCAGAAACACCCATCAGAAAGGACATATGCACCCCTATGTTCATAGTAGCACAATTACAATACCTCAGATTTGGAAAAAGCCTAAGTGCCCATCAGCAGATTAATGGATTAAAAAGCTGTGGTACATCTATACAATGGAATACTATGCAGCTGTAAAGAAAAAAGAAAGAAAGAAAAAAAGAACGCTGACCATTTGCAACAGCATGGATGGACCTAGAGAGCATCATGCTAAGCAAAATAAGCCAGTCAGAAAAAGCTAAGTATCACATGAGCTCACTCTTATGTGGAATCTAATGAACATAAACTGATAAACAAAAATAGAACCAGAGACTTGGGAATATTGAACAGACTGTCAAACCTCTGAGGGCAGGCAGGGGAGGCTGGAGAGGGGCGGGCAGGTGGGGGGAAGGAATCAACCAATGAACTCATATGCGTGTATGCATAACCCATTGACACAAACTATAAGGTGGTGAAGGCTTGGGGTGGGGGGAAGAGTAATGGGGTTAAAGGGACATATGTAATACTTTCAACAATAAAGATTTATAATTAAATTTTTCAAAAGGCATATGGGAACCTTTAAGTAAAGGGTAATAAATGGGGATATTGTGGCAATCATTAAAAAATAAAAGCAGAAGTTATTCGAATGGAAATTGAATTTCTAAACTCTACATATTTGAAGCAGACTAGAATTATCCAATTCAATATAAAATTTTTATCTTTGTCAACGTAACTAGGGCTACAAAAATTCAATTAAAGGTGAGATTTGCCCTAGCTGGTTTGGTTCAGTGGATAGAGCATTGGCCTGAAGATGGAAAGGTCCCAGGTTTGATTCCAGTCAAGGGCACATGTCCAGGTTGTGGGCTTACCTTAGTACCATGTAAACAAAGATACAGAGAAAGAACAATTTCTTATAAAAAAATTAAAGTAAATTTACTTGCTTACTTTGTGCAGAAAGAACCAGAAATTACAGGCTGTGGGATTCATTCTGTGCCCTTCAGTATGTTTCATATTATGACACAGTTAGAGATTATCTATTCTTCCTTCTAGTTCAGGGGTGGGCAAACTTTTTGACTCGAGGGCCACAATGGGTTCTTAAACTGGACCGGAGGGCCGGAACAAAAGCATGGATGGAGTGTTTGTGTGAACTAATATAAATTCAAAGTAAACATCATTACATAAAAGGGTACGGTCTTTTTTTTGTTTGTTTTATTCATTTCAAACGGGCTGGATCCAGCCCACGGGCCGTAGTTTGCCCACGGCTGACCTAGAGAGCATCATGCTAAGCAAAATAAGCCAGTCAGAAAAAGCTAAGTATCACATGAGCTCACTCTTATGTGGAATCTAATGAACATAAACTGATAAACAAAAATAGAACCAGAGACTTGGAAACATTGAACAGACTGTCAAACCTCAGAGGGCAGGCAGGGGAGGCTGGAGAGGGGCGTGCAGGTGGGGGGAGGAATCAACCAATGAACTCATATGCGTATAAGCATAACCCATTGACACAAACTATAGGGTGGTGAAGGCTTGGGGTGGGGGGAAGAGTAATGGGGTTAAAGGGACATATGTAATACTTTCAACAATAAAGATTTATAATTAAATTTTTCAAAAGGCATATGGGAACCTTTAAGTAAAGGGTAATAAATGGGGATATTGTGGTAATCATTAAAAAATAAAAGCAGAATAGTGTTATTTGAATGGAAATTGAATTTCTAAACTCTACATATTTGAAGCAGACTAGAATTATCCAATTCAATATAAAATTTTTATCTTTGTCAACGTAACTAGGGCTACAAAAATTCAATTAAAGGTGAGATTTGCCCTAGCTGGTTTGGTTCAGTGGATAGAGCATTGGCCTGAAGATGGAAAGGTCCCAGGTTTGATTCCAGTCAAGGGCACATGTCCAGGTTGTGGGCTCAATCCTCAGTAGGGGCCATGGAGGAGGCAGCTGATCAACTATTCTCTCTCATCACTGATGTTTCTCTCTCTCTCTCTTTTTCTCTCTCATTCCTTCCTCTCTGAAATCAATAAAAATATATTTTCCAAAAAAAGGGGTAAGATTTTACTATGGGTTGAAATAGAAGCAAAAAGAAATAGGACATCAGGTTCTGCTGTATATGAGTGGAGTAAAGCTCTAGGACCACCTCCAATGGAATTATCTAAGAACTGTGAAGATTCAATAAAAATGATCTGTGAAAGAAAACAAACAAAAAAAACCCCTGGAGATTCAGCCCTGGTGGGTGTGACTTGGTTGGTTGGAGCATCATCCAGTACACCGAAAGGTCACAGGTTCAATTCCCAGTTAGGACACACACCCAAGTTGTGGACAGGGTGCCTATGGGATGCAATGTTCTCTCCCCACATCAATTTTTCTCTCTCTAAAAAAATCAATTTAAAAACCATATCCTCGCCCTAGCCGGTTTGGCTCAGTGGATAGAACGT